CTGACAGGGGGACTGACAAGGAACTGACAGGGACTGGTGAACTGACAGGAGACTGACGGACTGACAGGGGGACTGACAGGAACTGATGGGACTGACAGGGGACGGACGGGGACTGATGGACTCACAGGGGACTGACAGGGGAACTGACAGGGACTGACAGGGGGATGGACAGGGACTATGGGACTGACAGGGACTGACAGGGACTGACGGGACTGAGGGGGACTGAAGGGACTGATGGGACTGACAGGGAACTGACAGGGACTGACAGGGACTGATCAACTGACAGGGGACTGACAGGTACTGATGGGACTGACAGGAAATGAACTGACAGGGGACTGCCAAGGGGACTGACAGGGACTGAGGGGACCGCCAGGGGGACTGACGCGGGACACACTGCCTTGGTGTTCCCCCCTGCAGAATGCAGGCGTCAGCGCCTCAGACTCTGGCCTTCCCCCACCCACTTCCCTCCAGATGTGGGCGCAGCTGTATTTTTAGAACAGCCTGCCGCAAGGACATTCTTTCCTTCTAATTAAGATGGCTTCACATCTCCCTGCCATCAGCCCCGTTATTCAGGCCTCAGATATCAAAGGGCAGCCAGGAGGGGCCCACAGCCAGTTGTAGGGTTGAGTTTTTATTCTATTTTTTCTTCTTCCTTTCTTTTGAACTATTAAGTTGAAAATGAGCTGCAGAGCTGCAGTGAGCACAGCTCTGAGGAGGAGGGGAGCCTGCTGGAGCCAGCCCATCCCTCTGTGTCCTGGCCTTGGCTACAGTGGTCCTTTCTGGTTAAAGTTCCCCCATATTAGGGCCTGTCTAGGACAGTATTGAAGACCAAGTAAGCTGCCCATCCTCAGGAAACCCTGTTCAGATGGCACTACAGGCAGGGCGCCCCAAGGACACTTGTGGAGAGCAAGTGAGCTGTGATACCCCAGTTTACAGGGGAGCATCAGAACCCTTGAGGTGTGGCCTGCCTGCTGCGCTTGATGGTGGCTGGCAACCACACAGGTGGCCTGGTACCCTGGATGTCCTGAGGCAGGTAAAGCTGACACCTGTGTGGGAGGAGCAGGGAAAGCCACAGAGAGGGAGGGTCTTTGAGTGACCTTAAGAGAGCAGAGCGAAGTGAAATGAGTCAGAAAGAGAGGGACAGACATAGAAGGACTGCACTCATTTGAGGAATATATAGTGACAGAATGGAAAACTAACACCCAAGAATAGTAGAGATAAGGACCAGGAGGATTGGTCCACAGCTTGGAAGCCGGCCTCACATGCTGGGGGAAAAGGCAGCTCAGATAGAGAAGGGACCACCAAGTAAAGGATACTTGGACGGCCCACTTAGGATGGGAGATGCATGCTGAAAGTAGACTATAGACCGAACATGATGATGATTTAATTCCTGCACTGCAAACCACAACACCTAAAGGAGAGAGAGAGAGAGTGAAAGGGAATGTGCCTGCCACAGAGGCAGGGGGTGGGGTGGGGTGGGGGTGGTGGGAAAGATACCTGGAACATTGGTGGTAGAAAATGGGCACTGGTGGAGGGATAGGTAGTTGATCATTGTATGACTGAAACGTAAGCACGAAAGTTTGTAAGTCTGTAACTGTACCTCATGGTGATTCATTAAAAAAATGGTTGAGTATCACGGACTGCTGGCGGGACCCCAGTCACACATCTCCGTGGAGGGCAGCCTGTTGTGGGGCTGAGCTCTGGGAGCAGGAGGCTAGGGCCAGCACACACCCTGGCTCTGGGTGGAAAGCACCTATTAAGGCCTCACCTCATGCTGCAGAAAGGAGATTCTGGGGGGCCAGAGCCATAGCATAGCGGGAAGGGTGTTTGCCTTGAGTGCATCAGACCAGGTTTAATCCCCAACATCCCACATGGTCCCCCGAGACCCATCAGGAGCCATCCCTGAGTATCACCAGGTTTAGTCTCCCCCACCCCCCTTAAAAGGGAGAATCTGGGCTGGACACCAGGCCTGCCGGTGCCCACCCAAGGCCCTGGCCCACCTGGCTTGCTGGCTGTGTGCACAGGACATAGAGGTGAAATCAGTCTGTGCTCCTGGGCACTGGTTGAGGCTAGCAACCTGGTGGCTGTGGATGCAGTTCCCTTGGTCACGGCATAGGTCAGTGTCTCGGCTGCCAGAGGTTGGTCAGTCGATCAAGAGACACAGTGAAGGGGCTTTATGGCAACAGGCTAGCGGGCTGGACACTGGCAAACTCAGGTCTGCAAGGCAACCTTCTTGTCTGCACAACCACAAGTAGGGATTTTTGTTGTTGCCCCGACCTGTGGGATTAGTTAACGTGGATAACCAGGAGAGGGTGCACGAGTGGGAAAAAAGAGAGAGAGAGAGAAGAATGGGAGCAAGTCAAGACTGATCAGACTCCAAATTTATATCTCCCAAGCTAGCCTTTTATAATTGATTATGTGAGAGAATGGGCAAAATGGGGAATTAACAAAGCATGCAGATTTTCAATAAATCATGGTGTGAGCACTAATGGTGGGCTCATGGCACTTATCCCGGGCATAGCTCAGAAACTTACACAATGTATTTTAACATTTTTCTAAGAAGAGATTAGTTCTTAAATCGCAGGTCAGGCTGTACTGCTGTTTTGGCTCCCGGCATGTTGTTGTTTTGGCATCGCACCTGGTGGTACCCAGGGCTCACTCCTGACTCTGTGCTCAGGGATCCCTCCTGGTAGTGCTCAGGGGGGCATATGCGGTGCTGGTGATCAGTGTCAGGTTCTGAATTGGGGTTATCCAGTGCAAGCACAGTACCCTAACCCTTGCGCCATCCCTCCAGCCTCAGGGAGGCGTTCTTGAGAGACAACAGAGAAGCACCTTCAGAAAGAGAATCGCAGGCGGGAGGGTTGCCAGAGAGGGCAGAAAATTCCCTCATGGCTGGCTCTCTGAGGCACATTCCATCTTACCCACAACCCTAATCAAAGGTTTTCGAGTAAGGGCTCAACCTGTCCTTACCTAGGATTGTTTTTTGGTGAAGGCGGGGCGGGGGCGGGGGGAACCTAAGGACACTTGTCCCTGCCCGTAGGGGCTGCTGGCTTTCCGTGCTCAATCCCAGAACGGAGCGTTTTTTGTTTCCCACCCACCGTGAAGGAGCTTCAGCGCCAGCTCAGCAGAGCACAGACTTTGTCGCCCCCTGGCGGTAGCCAGAGGGATCTCAGCGGCCCAGAATATAGATGGGGGCTGCTGGCTGGCCTCTGACCGGTGGTCCAGGCCCCAAGGTTCTGTGTTGCTCAGGGCTGGGGCCACCTGGGGCCAGACTAGTAGTGTGGGGGGAGATAGGCTGCGATCATACAAGGCATGAACTCCAGCTCTTCATGCCATCTCCATGATCCCAGTTTCATCGTTTATGGTGTGTCTTAACATAGATTCTTCTGGAGCAATAGCACAGCGGGCAGGGCATTTGCCTTGCACGCGGCTGACCCGGGTTCGATTCCCAGCATCCAATATGGTCCCCTGAGCACTGCCAGGAGTGATTCCTGAGTGCAAAGCCAGGAGTAACCCCTGAGCATTGCCGGGTGTGACCCAAAAAGAAAAAAAAAAAAAAAAAAAAGATCAGTTCTAGGGATGACAAATTTATATATAAAAAAAGATTAACTCATAGTTTTTATTCTTAATTTTAATGAAATTAAATCCTCACACACACAAAAAACCTTACATGGCTTTATACTTATCCTAAGGTTATAGAAGTATTCTATATATTTCTTCTAAAATGTTTAGGGGCCGGATCTATAGTAGAGTAGGGCACTTGTCTTGCATGTATCTAACCCAGGTTCCATCCCTGGGACCCTATTTGGTCCCCTCAACCCACCAGGAGTGACCCCTGAGCATAGAGCCAGGAGTAAGCCCTGAGCACCAGCAGGTGAAATCCAAGAGCCAAATAAAAGATGTTTAACGTATGCTTTTTGCATTAGCTTTTTATGTGAACCTAGAGTAAATTTGCTTTGTTTGGGGTCCACACTCACCTTTGGAGGTGCTCAGCCATCATTCCCGTGGTATCTGGAGAGCCATGTGGTACTGGGAGGTGCGGTTGGGTCACATCTGGTAGTGCTCGCTGGGCTAATTCCAGCACTGTGATCCAGGGTTATTTCCAGAGGTGCTCAGGGGACCTTGTGGTGCCAGGGATCTAATCTGAGCTCTCTGCATGCATATACTCACCCCTTTGCACCATCTCTCCAGCCCCAACATGACAAACCTGTGAGCTTTTTCCCCAGTCCCTGGAATGACTTTTATGCATGGGATGAGACAGATATCCAATTTTATCTCCCTATATAGTTGTCCCAGAATCTCCCCTTTTTTCTTCTTTTCGGGTCACACCTGGTGACGCTCAGGGGTTACTCCTGGTTCTGCACTCAGGAATTACTCCTGGCAGTGCACAGGGGACCATATGGGGTGCTGGGAATCAAACCCGGGTCAGCCGCATGCAAGGCAAACGCTACCCGCTGTGCTACCACTTCAGCCCCCAGACCCTCTTTATTTAAATTTTTAATTTTATTTTCATAAAGTTGCTCACAAAATTGATTACATTCAATATTTCAACACCAATTCCACCACCATTTTTTGAAGTTTCCCACCACCACTCAAGTCTGCACCACAGGTGCAGATAATTTATTTTGTATTGCTTGTTATGAATACTATGAGATGCCAGACTCCTTTTAATCTATCATTTCCCGATTTCTTATGAGGATGGGCTATCGTTGTCTTGAAAAAAGAAATCTATCTGAATCATTTAACAGCACCTGAAACCAACAGCCCCAACAGTGCTTTCGGAGCAAGTTGTGTTTACCCCAAGCATTCAAAGATGGTTCACCATTTTAGAAATCACCGGTGCAATCCTGCTTATAAACAGAGTGAAGCACAAAGAGCATGAAGTTAGCAGCAGCTACACTTTTATGTTTTCCCTTAAAATATAACTATCGGGGGTTGGTTTTTCTAACCTCTTTTCAAGTGCAGAGGAAGAAGAGCCAAGCCGGACAATAGAGAAAGTGCAGTCTCATTCCTTGGCGCGTGCTACCACAGGCCTGCTCGGATACCTCCCTCAGGTCACTGCGGCTCTGTATCTCTGTGCCCACAAATAGCATCTCCGGTAAGTCTTTGGATTTGGACTTTCTCCAACCCTTGGTTGCCATACAGGGCGTGAGAAGCCTTGAGAAATAAGATTAATCCCGCCCAGTGGACTCTGGTCTCCTCACATCCTCCAAGCGGCGTCCAGGCCACTCTCACGCAGTGGATTCCCTGGCGGCCACCTGCGGCAGAATCTCCCCAGCGCCTTGCGAGTCGCGGGCTGCGCCAGGGAGCACCCATGAAGGCCCTGCAGAGACTGGTGGGTGGGTCCGCCTTTCGGCGCCTCCGCAGCCGGCCCCTCCTCCGGGGAGGGGGTGGGGACGCGCGGACCGTGCGCGGGCGCAGGTCTTAGGTGCGGAATCGGAGGCCGGTGGACGCGGGGGTGGCCGGGGGCGCCAGAGGCGGGGCGCGGGACACCCGGCGCCGGCGCGGGCAAGGTGCGGATGCGGCGTCCGTTCTGCAGGCGGTGGCGGGACGGGAGGCCCGGAAGCACCTGGAGCGGGGCGTGGGGGGCGAGGGGGGGGTCGACCGCGGAGCAGGGCGCCCGCTCGGTCACCTTCACTCACGCGCTGCCCCCCGCGCGCCGTGCATGAGCCCGCGATTGCCGCGGCCCGCGTGGCGGGGCGCGCGCGGTGGGGGGTGAGGGTGCCCGGCTCCCGAGCGCCCCGCTGCGCGTGCCCTCGCCGCCCCGCCCGGCGCCGCCCGGTGGAACGCCGGCCCAGTGCGCGCGCGCCCCCGTCCGCGCGGCGCCTCCCTGCCCGCCGCCTGCCGGGGCTGCATCCCCACGCCGCCGCCACCGCGGGGGTGATGCAGGGCAGGAGCGGCGGAGCCCGAGACTTCACGAGACTCCACGAAGGTGGCACGCCTAGAGAGCAAGTGCTTGTTTGTAAAGCGGAGTCAAGTGCTTAGGCGACAGCTGAGCCGAAGTGAGCGCTCCCGGGGGCCCGGCTGCGTGGGGTCCCGGGTCTGCAGGACCTGGGGTATCCCTTCCTAAGCATGACCTCGTGGTCCTGGAGCCCTCGAGCAGGCCAGAGCCACCCCCAAGAGGTAGCCTCCCCCGCTTCTGGCTCAGAGTCGCACCCCCGCCGCCTTCCCCAGCTCGCTCCCGCCCGCTTCCCGCCCGCCATGCAGCTCACTGAGCCAACGGGCACTGTGTGCTTGGGGAGTTCTCCGTTTCTTAGGTTGCCCCCCTAGGTGGCAAGCCGCCCTTTGGAGTACCAAGTGTGTGGTGCCTGGATACCTAGGCGGCCCTCTGGGCTGGGGGTAGGCATGGCCAGGTCTGGGTGAGGAAGGCTTGAAGATGAGGGGGAAGGGGTCGAGTCGCCTCCCCGCCTCAGCCCTGGCAAGAGCTGCTCCATCTCCTCCCACGCATGTGCATGTCGGTTTCTTGGGTAACCTCACCGCAGAGCACGCTGGGAGATAAGAGGGGGCCTGCCCACTCTGCTGGAGAAATGTTTCACTGAGGTAAAACATTGGGGTCAGGGTCAAGATAAATACAGGGTCTGAGGAGCTTGCCTTTCATTTCTCTCATTCTCCTTTTTCCCCCTTCCCTCTCTCCCTCCATCCCTCTGCCCCTCACTCTCTTTTACTCCCTCCTTTTTTCCCTCCCTCTCATTCTCCTTCCTTCCCTTCCCTCTCTCCCTCCATCCGTGTCCCCCTCCCCCCTTTTCTTTTTCTTGGTTTTTGGGTCACACCCAGTGGTGCTCAGGGTTTACTTACTGTGCCCTCAGGGATTACTCTTGGCGAACTCTGGAACCCAGGCAGCCGTTACAAGCGCCCTACCTGCTGTACTATGGCTTCTGCCCGCCTTTACTGTTTCATCCTATATATGGTTCCCTGGAGCACTGCCAGGATTGGTGCCTGAGCCCAGAGTGAGGAGTAAACCCTGAACTCTCTCAGATGTGACACAACCTTTCCCCCCACTAAATATTGGAGCTCAGCCCCTGCTGTGACCCCCCTCTTAGGACGTTCTCTTCCCAAACCAGGGCAGGTATGCCCGGGGGCAGCCCGGAAGAGGAGGCTGGGAATTGCTGTCCGTCTCAGAAAATGCTGGTGGGGCCAAGTGAGAGGCTGAGGGAGCACAGTCCTGGACTCAGAGTAGAAGGATTAGGATCCTCTGAGAGCTGCCAGCCGAAGCCCAAGCCCGCGGTGAGGCCCCGCCTCTTCAAAGCCCCTGTTTCCTCATCTGTGAAGTAGAGACAGCATTGCCTGCTCCACGGATGGTGCTCGGTGAGCTCCCACCCAGGAGAGTGGCCGCGGCTTTCCAGTCACCCTGTTTTCTCTCTCCTCAGACTCAGGCCCGGGTCCTGCTCCTGACCATCTGTGCGGCAGGCATTGGGGGCACTTTTCAGTTCGGCTACAATCTCTCCATCATCAATGCCCCGACCTTGGTATGTCCTTCAGTGTCCAGCTGGGTATCTGGCTCTTGCTCATACTTGTCATTCCCAACCACAGGAGGCTGGGTTCCTGGTGTGGGGGCTCCCTCTTGGGGGGCTGGCGTCATGGGCCCATGCCTTGCCCACTCTGGCCTTGATTCCAGTATTACCAGCAAACTGAGTATAAAGTGTATCTCGTGGTTTTCCCACACAGGGTCCTAAGGTGCATTGGAAGATAAACCAAGTGGGTTTTGATCTCACATAGGACGATTTAGAAAGGGCTGAGTGGGACTGGGTAAGGGATGGGGTAGCAATGCAGATTTTGTGTTCTTGGAAGAACTTGGCAGTACTTGGCAGAAGGAGCAGTCATGGGGTCCAGGAGAAAAGAGGCATACGAGGGTGTGATGGCCTATGGTTGGTGGGGGGCACAGCCAGTGTGTGGCGACCTTCCAGGGCAGAAGCCCCCAGAGCAAACCCCTCTACCTCTTCTGCCTCCTCTGGTGCCCTGAGAGTGCTCCCCAGAGGCTTAGACCAATGGAACTAGTCAGATTGGCCCCATTCAGGGCCAGAAGCAAGGGGACAGGGGTGACAGTGGGGACAATGGGGACTGGCCAGCAGCAGACCCCAGGACACACTGTTGCGGAGAGAGTGAGACTGTGGCAGGTACGCAGGAGGGTTTGTTCTGCCCGTGCCTGGGCTGGGGAGCAGCGTTGCTCAGGGCCCCGCCTGCTGTGCAGAGGCAGAGCTCCTCCTCGGGGAGCGGGGAGCCCCCCTAAGCTGCCTGATGTCTCTGTCCACAGCCCATTCAGGAGTTCATCAATGGGACGTGGCAGGCGCGGACGGGCCGGCCCCCGCCCGAGCACCTGCTGCTGCTCGTGTGGTCCATCATCGTGTCTCTGTACCCGCTGGGGGGCTTCTTGGGGGCGCTGTTTTCCGGACCCTTGGCCGTTGTCCTAGGAAGGTATGTGCTTCTGTGTACCCCGAAGGGCTCCACAGGCCGAGGACTGTGGGAGGAGGAAGCGGCTAGCCGACTCCCGGGCTCTTGACTTGGCCTGGCTTTCACATGCGAGTTGTGTCAGCCCATTCGGCACTGCATGGCCGGGCTGAGGACTAGATACTCCTCCGCGCTGCGTGCTGGGGTGGCTTCCCACCCAAGACACAGTCACGCTTCCCAGCAGACCTGGATTCGGTAGAACAGAATGCTGTGTATTGGGGACTCCTGGTCCCGCATCTGTCAGCCTTTAACAGACATTCTCTCCCAGAGGGGTTGGGGGGCTTTCTTCCCCCACTTTGTATCCAAGTGAGGACATTCTCGGGTGGTAATGAAGAGACTGATGATGCTGTCTGACTTCATAAAAATTAGTAAAAACTGGCCAGAGATATGGTACAGTGGGATGGGCACTTGTCTTGCATGTAGCTGACCTGAGTTCTATCCCCAGCATCCCATACGGTCCCCTGAGCCTGCCAGGAGTGATCCCTGAAAGCCGAGAGCCAGGAGTAAGCTCGGAGCATCACAGGGTGTGACCTGTTACCGCCCCCAAAATAAAACAAAAGAAAAATGGATAAAAGACATTAGGTCTAGGGGCTGGAGCGATAGCACAGCGGGTAGGGTGTTTGCCTTGCATGCAGCCGATCTGAGTTCGATTCCCAGCATCCCATATGGTCCCCTGAGCACCGCCAGGAGTAATTCCTGAGTGCAGAGCCAGGAGTAACCCCTGTGCATTGCTGGGTGTGACCCAAAAAGAAAAAAAAATTGGGCCTAAAAGAGGGTGAGGGTGACCCCCGCTGAGCACACATGTAGTCACAAAACCCAAGAGTCCCCCCCACATCCTCCCCACCCCCCCAGGAGCTCCACAGCAACAAAGAAGGGAAGGGGCAAATGCAAAACAGAAACCACAGGGCAGAAGCTTTACCCTGGCGCTCAAGGAGAGTGCCATCTGACCCGCAAGGAGATGCCAGGCCACAGATGTCCTTTCCCCGGGAGAGAGGGAATGAGAGAGAGAGTCAACTCTGCTGGGGGAGGAGTGGGAGTGTGCCCCCATTCCTGAGTGAGGACAGGCCTGGGCTGAGATGCTTTGACCCAGCGCACACAGCCGACCTAATCCCGGATGTTGGACTTACAGAGAGGTGTCCCTGGGGAGAATGTCTCCGACCTGAACCCGAACTTCTCTTCCTTGTGTCCCGCTTTCCCCAAGGAAGAAGTCCCTGCTGGTGAATAACGGCCTCGTGGCAACTGCAGCGGTCCTGTTTGGCTTCAGCCGCAGAGCAGGCTCCTTCGAAATGATCATTCTGGGAAGACTGCTCGTGGGGATCAGTGCAGGTATGGGGGGCTCTGTTTCTGCTCACGCACATCTCCCCTTGGTTACCTTCATGCACCGATTTTCTTTATTCCCTTGACATTTTTCAGTCATGCCCTCCTTTGCTGGCCAGTCGGTTTTAACAATGCTGGCATCAAGACGCATATAACCAGACAATTAAAGTGGATCCAAGCAGTATCCAGGGAGCAGTAGTCCTGAGGGTAGGGCACTTGCCTTGCACCTGGCTGACCCAGGTTTGATCTCCAACACCACATATGGCCCTCCGAGCCCTGCCAGGAGTGATCCCTGAGTGCAGAGTCGGGAGTAGGCCTGCACACTGTCAAGTGAAGCCGCCAAACCAAAGAGGAGGCGGGGGAGAGGCAAATAAAGACAATACAAAAGATCAGTGGGTGTAGAAATTGAGAGTTCGACAGGAGAGGGGACACATCCACAAACTGCACTGCCCGAGGCCCTGCATGTGAATGACTCTAAGCCCTGAGCTGTTGGCAGCCACAGCATAAAGGCGGCTTGGAGCTGTGCTCAGATCAGCCACACCAGCCTTTTGGACAGATGCCTCCGTTCCTGGGCCTTGTGGTGGGAGGGCGCACAGTTTTGAGGGCCTCTGCCTGAGCTTTCAGAGGTTTCCATACACAGGTCCCCCCATCTCCTGTTTCCTCCCGTCCCTGGAGCCAGGCGTTGGTGTCTGTAACAGTCATCTAAAACCGTGGCTTCAAGCCACCAGCATTTGTTATCTCACCGTTTCTGTGGGTCAAGAATGAGGAGTCTCTTAGCTGGGAGGTCCTGGCATAGGAGGCTGCAGCCGGCAGTGCCTGAGGCTTGGCTAGGGCTGGTGATCGCAGAGTCCTGTGGCTTGCTATAGACAGAGCTTGACCATCACTGGTGCATTAGGCTGTATGGCTGCTTTAGCCTCCTCACAACATGGAGGCCCACATCCCTGGAGTCAGTGATCAGAGAAACAAACATGAGCAAAGGGTGCCAGGAGGAAGTTCCTACACTTTTTATGACTAGTCTGAGAAATCAAACACCTTCAGTTTTTTTTTTGGGGGGGGGGCTATAGTTGTCACACGTGGTGGTGCTCAGAGGTTACTCCTGGTTCTCCATTCAGGAATCACTCCTGGTGATGCTCAGGGGACCATATGGGATGCTGGGGATCGAGCATGGGTTGGCTGTGTGCAAGGCAAGAGCCCTACCTGCTGTACTATCACTCCGGCCCCCAGATGCTCCGAGGTTTGCCATTCTGTTACAGCTCACACTTTAGGGAAAGGGTACCAGGTCAGATTTTATCTCTGTACCTCAAGTACCCTGGGCTGGAGCAATAGCACAGTGGGTTTGTCTTGCACGCAGCCAACCTGGGTTTGATTCCTCCATCCCTCTCAGAGAGCCCAGCAAGCTGCCAAGAGTATTCTACCCGCACGACAGAGCCTGGCAAGCTCTTTGTGGCGTATTCGACATGCCAAAAACAGTAACAACAAGTCTCACAATGGAGATGTTACTGGTGCCCACTCAAGCAAATTGATGAACAATGGGAGGATAGTGCTACCCTAAGTACCCTAAATGCTTGTAGGAAGATAGGGGTGCCTTGGAGACCATTTCAGCTGTCATTGTAAGCCATCTTCCTCCTGGCGCCTTCTATCCCGTGGTCTTAGAGGGAGGTAGACCCTGCTGAGAGCTGCCTCCTACCCCCGGGTCAGAGAGGTGGATTGAGCAGGGGGTGTGATCCCTCAAAGTCTGCAGCTTTCTTAGCGGCACCATCTGAGGCGGGGCGTGGACAGATCCAGTTCTGTTTGCCTGTGGCCTCCCTGGGGTAAGGGAGTAGGAAGCAGCAGCAGTGGGAGGAGGCCAGTGAAAACATAGACATGAGCTGGGATAGCAGGTAGCCCCTGGGTGCTGTCCTGCGCTTGGGAACCTTGGTGTTCATGTGGTGCAGGGGTCAGGATGGGGCTGCTCTGAGGGAGATTCTCTCTCTCTCTCTCTGTCTCTCTCTCTCTGTCTCTCTCTCTCTGTCTTGGGAGTAGACTTGGGGCCTAACTGCCCTGCAGGGGAGGAGGTGGAGGAGCACCCCTTGGGCCCAGATCCTATATGGCCGAGGGTTGGTTTTGATAGGCAGGCCGGGGCCGCGCAGCCCAGGTGGCCTCCAGCTGCTTCTGTTGTCCCCGCATGCAGGTGTGAGCATGAACATCCAGCCCATTTACCTGGGGGAGAGCGCCCCCAAGGAGCTGCGGGGAACAGCAGCCATGAGCTCGGCCGTCTTTGCTTCCCTGGGGGTCATGATGGGCCAGGTGGTGGGACTCAGGTAAGAGTGCTCCCCGCTCCCCATCAGTGTTCCCCGAGTGCTCAGAGTCACTCCAGGCATCGACTTCGGCTGGGGTGCTAGTAAAGGCCCTTCTTTGTTTAAAGCTCACCCTTATCTACCAGGCAGATCAAGGCATTACTTCTTTGTATTGTGGTGTGTCCATCTGGCCAATCCACAGTGTTTGTCTCTCACACTTTGGTGTTGAATTACCCCGTACCATTCCTCTAGATTAGGGCGCAAAGGGCAGGTCTTGTCAGCTGAAAGGATGAGGTTTGGGGCTTTATTCATTGGTTTTGGGACTACACCCAGCAGTGCTCAGAGCTTACTTGTATTCAGGGATCTCTTCTAGCAGGCTCAGGGGACCATGTGGGGTGCTAAGGATTCGAACCTGGTTTGGCCACATGTGAGGCAAGTGTCCTGTGTGCTTTACTATGACTCTAGCCCCAGGGTTTTGGCTTTTAAAGGGGAGTATGGCCTGTCCTTCCAGAAAAGAGCAGAGGTGGAGGCCCGCCTTGGAAAGAGGGGCTGCTGAGGACACCGAGGGCCTTGCTCTGCCATTCCTTGGGCCCCCACCCAGTGGGAGAGCTCTCGTTGCCTCGGAGGCCCTCTGTCCTTATGAGGGCAGGCTCAGACGTCAGGGCTGTTGTGGGGATTCTCTGGCCTGGCCCCCCTCTGTCTCCCCAGGGAGCTCCTGGGTGGTCCACACTCCTGGCCCCTGCTGCTGGCCAGCTGCTCAGTGCCTGGGGTGCTCCAGATGGTCTCCCTGCCCCTGCTTCCAGAGAGCCCGCGCTACCTCCTTATTGACCGCGGAGACACCGAGGCCTGCCTGGCAGGTGAGTCTCTGATGGGGACCCTGAGCAGGGTTGACCGGGGCCTTTCCTAACCAGAGAATATGGGTCTCTTCTTGGGTTTCGTGGATCACGAAAAGGCTTCCATCTCCTTTGGGAGTCAATGTCAGTACCCACCCACCCATGCCCTCAAAATACGTGACTGGATGTGAAGGTGATCAGGTGGTGCCATCTCTGACTCCAGGGTTGATGCAGCTGATCTGGCTGGCGGGGCGGGTGTCCTTTCCTTCCCCACTGCTCCATGTGCCACCCCCGCCCTGAAGCTGCACGTTTGGTCCAAGATAATGGTCTTCCTTGAATGCAGACAAACTATTTTTAGGTTAAGGGTATATGTGTAGGGGCTGGAGTGATAGCACAGTGGGTAGGGCGTTTGCCTTGCACGCAGCTGACCCGGGTTCGATTCCCAGCATCCCATATGGTCCCCTGAGCACCGCCAGGGGTAATTCCTGAGTGCAGAGCCAGGAGTAATCCCTGTGCATTGCCAGGTGTGACCCAAAAAGCAAAAAAAAAAGGGGGGGTATATGTGTTGTCCTATTTCCTTGCTAAGTCCTCCAAACAAGCTTCCAATTAAAAAAATTTTTTTTGAGTGATGACTCCTGGAGGTGCTCAGAGCTTACTCCTGCTTCTGCGCTCAGAGATAACTTCTGGCAGGGCTCAGGATACCATGTGGTGCCAGAGGTCAACCCCCTGTACAGTCTCTCCATCCCCTCAGAACTCTTTATCGAGGTTTTGTCCTAAGGGCCAGGACAACAGAACGGAAGAGACTTAGCTCTTGTCACCTTTGAATCCCAGGGTGGTGTAGAGAAAGAACCCCCCCATACTCGTGTAAGATGAAACACCGTGTAAGGTAGGCCAGAATGATGGTGCAATGGGCAAGGAACTTGCTTTGCATGTGGCCAACCTGGGATCGATCATCTCAGCACTTCATAAGTCCTCTTAGCCCCACCAGAAGTGACCTTGGAGCACAGAGGCCAGGCATAAGTTCTGAGCGTGGTTAGTGTGGCCCTAAACCAAAAAGCAATAAAAAGAAACACCACGTAAGAAATATCATGGGCCAGTGCCAACTGGGTACCAATGTCTTCCTCTGCTCTCTCTGGCTACAGTAATGAATCTCAAGGCGTTAGTCCCCTAATCCCTGGCTTATAAACAGTAGTCACTGAGTCTGCTTCTCACCCATTCTGGGCTGCTGTTCCTCTCTGCCCTGTGGTGCTGGGCTCAGCTGTACACTCAGTCTGGTTGGTTTAGGCAGAAGCAGTTCAGCAATGCCTCTCATTTTTTCTTTTTCTATTTTTTTTTTTTTGCTACACCTGGCTGTGCTCAGGACTTACTCCTGGTCCTGTGCTCAGGGATTACTCCTGGTGGGGCTCAGGGGACCACATGGGGTGCTGGGGACTGAATCTGGGTCGGCTGTGTGCTAGGCAAGTGCCCTGCCCGCTGCACTATCTCTCCAGCCCCTGCTACCAACACGCTAGCCCGGGTGTCTGTTACTAGGATGACAGCAGAGGCACAGGAAAGCCAATGCAGCTGCACAGCAGTTTCCAAACCTTTGGCTCCCTCTTGCACCCGTGAACATCCTGTTAGCCAAACTAAGCCACAGCGTTGAAGCCACAGTCAAAGGGTGGGGAATTCGATGGCACATTCCCTCAGGTGGCAAGGGGTGGATTTAAGGAGGTCTGAAGATCAAAGCGTTCTGAAACCCTCATCTCAGCTCGCCATAGCGGCCACATTACTATGCACACCCCTCTCCTGTAGAGAGCACTGAGCCGTGCCATCCTGGGACATGCCCCTCACCTGGAGAGTCTCAGCTGACAGTGGTTTCAGGCTGGAAGTCCGGGTTTTCTTCTTTTCTTGAATTTTGGCTTTCCCAACAGTGCTGGGACCCAGGACCACTCCCTGTGGTGGGTCGGGGGTCAAGGGGTGTCAGGGAATGATTCATGGCAGCTACTCTACTCCTTTGTGTTATCTCCCTGAGCCTTAAATTTAGCTCAGGACCATTTTTCATTAAGATTATGTTGAGGGGCTGGAGTGATAGCACAGCAGGTAGGGCGTTTGCCTTGCACGCGGCAGACCCGGGTTAATTCCCAGCATCCCATATGGTCCCCCAAGCATGGCCAGGAGTAATTCCTGAGTGCATGAACCAGGAGTAACCCCTTGTGCATTGCTGGGTGTGACCCCCCCCCAAAAAAAAGCAAAAAAAAAAAAGAAAGATTATGTTGAGTATATAATATATATATGTATTTATTTTTTGCTTTCTGAGTCACACCCGGCGATGCTCAGGGGTTACTCCTGGCTCTGCAGTCAGGAATTACTCCTGGTGGTGCTGTGGGAACCATATGGGATGCTGGGAATCGAACCCGGGTCGGCCATGTGAAGGCAAATGCCCTACCCGCTGTGTTATCGCTCCAGCCCCTATATGTACTTTTTCTTGGTCTAGAGTCCTGAAAGGTAAAAATGAACATCTTCTTCCCCTCTAAAACTCAATAATGGTTCCTGAAACCCAGGCATTTTTGGAAATGACGCACTTAAAAAAAAAAAAAGGGTGAGGTTTCAGAAAATAGCCGCTGATCACGGCAGTGCTGAATCACTCTGAACTCTAGAGGGCGCTCCAGCCCATGACGTTCTCAGCTTGCTTTGCCTTCCACATATCCTTCCTTTCCCATCCTTTTCCTTGCACACTGAACAGTGTGTGGGAAATGTGCCACTTTACATGGCAGACGACCTACACCTCTTTTGCCCGGGCCTACAGAACTTTGTCATTAACAATATGAATTTGGGGGCTGGAGTGATACCACAGTGGGTAGGGCGCTTGCCTTGCATGCGGCCGGGTTTGGTCCCCTGCACTGTATGTATATGAGCCCTGCCAGGAGTGATCCCTGACCACAGAGTCAGGAGTAAGTTCTGAGCACTGACAGCTGTGGTCCAAAACAAAAACAAAAAATGCTGTGAATTTTCCAAGTATTTGATTAGTACTGAGAACCACACCCACAATGCTTTGTGAGACATTTTTCTCTCAAGACTAATTATTGGAATGTTGGGGTGTGTCAGGCTGCTGGAGCTAACACCGTAAGGCCCTAAGAGCCCCCCTTTCCAGCCTTGAAAGTGTGGGGCACTGATTTAAGCTCCACTTTTGATATAATTTTTACCAACTCCTTGACTCACTGGCAATCATTGCTTTTAGGTGGTAACTGAAACTTGTCTTGCTATCTGGAGAGGTTAGAGAGGAGTAAAAGTTGTGTCTGTTTTTAATTAAACCAACCTAGAACTTTCTGGAATAAGTTCAATTTATTTATTTTTGGTTTGGGGGCCACACCTGGCGGTGCTCAGGACTTACTCCTGACTCTGCAATCCTGGGTCATTCCTGGCCAGGTTGGGTGGGAGGTGGGGTGGGCTAGTATATGTGACCCAGGATCAAACCCAGGTCAGCTGTGTGCAAGGAAAGTGGCTGACCTATCTCTCTGGCCCCTGGAATAATTTAATTAGCTTCTTGTTCCCTCTGTAGGTCTTTCTTGAGTCCAAGTAGCCTTGTTTTTAATACTCAGCTTCGAAACTCAGCCAAAAGCAACCAGCTCTTGCTCTCCGCACTGGGAGCTCCCTTCAGCCAAGACCCAGAAGTTCATTAGGTGTGTTAGGCTCCTGCCCTACAGGCTCGGACTTTTATCTCCCCAGGCCTCTGCCTGCTCCTAGCAGTCCTAGATATGTCGGCCGTGGTTTGGTGTTTCTGTCTAACAACCATATCATCTCAAGCCGAGGGGGAAATGGCTTAGCTCTGCCATCTGCCAGTTCTGAGGTGTTGGGAGTCTGCCTAGTGGCTGGCTCATCTTGGTCACACACGCAGGTCAGTTCTAAAGGGACAGGCAAATGGCCTTCATTGTGATGAGAAGAACAAGGCTTTGGAAGCAGGATTTATTCATTCCCACCGGATGCACCTAGCTGAGCTGAGAATTCCCCTGTTCTTTTAAACTGGGCCCAGAACGAAGACCGAACAGGGAATCGATGCTTCATTAGCCCCACGTACTCAGTGAAATGTCCCCTTTGAAACGCAAGATTAAAGGCCCCAACGGGTGGCCTGGGGGAACCTAGCCTCGGGTGAGAGCGCAGGAGGGGAGACGGGGGACACCCCGAGAAAGCCCCGCTAAGGGAGGGGAGCACAAGGGGCTGGGGGGCGCCGCGGGAAGGGGGCCCGGGAGGAGGCATTCGGCCTGGCCCCTAGTCTGGCCTGGGGGACCAGCAGCTCTGCCCCCTCTCCCGGCCAGCGCTGCGGCGGCTGAGGGGCTCGGCGGACGTGGCGGACGAGCTGGCGGAACTGCAGGAGGAGCGCTCGGCCTGCCACTGCCTGCGTGCGCGGCGGCCCTGGGAGCTGCTCGGGGACCGAGAGCTGCGGAGGCAGGTGCTGAGCCTTGTGGTGCTGGGCAGCTCCATGGCGCTGTGCGGGAACGACACGGTGAGGCGGCGCTCGCTGGGTGGGCCGGGGAGGGGGCGGCGGGCAGCCCGGCCCGCAGCTGCCCCCAGCGCCGCCTCGCCCGCCCCCGCAGGTCTACGCCTACGCCTCCTCCGTGTTCTGGGAGGCCGGGATCCCCCAGGACAAGATCCAGTACGCCATCGTGGGCACCGGCAGCTGTGAGCTGCTCACTTCGTGTGTCAGCGTGAGTCTGCCCCCCCCTCCCCCCCGCTGCTGCCTGGGGCGGGGGCGCTGACCCTCTTAGGACATCACTGTTGGTGTGGAGACGGGCTGAAGTGGAGCGCACAGCCCCCGTCCCCCTCTCTCTATCCCCAACCCCTCGTGCTGGCCACGCAGCTACCCAGGGTCCCCCTTAGTCGGAGCCCCCCCTGCTCCCTGCCCCCACCCCCTTCCACCTGGTTCCCCAGCCCCAGGGGCAGCTCTTGAGTCTCTCGCCCTTGCAGTGTGTGGTCATCGAGAGGGTGGGCCGGCGAGTGCTACTGATCGGGGGCTACAGCCTGATGGCCTGCTGGGGCAGCGTCTTCACGTTGGCCCTGTGCCTGCAGGTAGCTGGGGGCAGGGGGAGAGGAGGGAGGGAGCGCCCCCGGGGGCGTGGCAGCTGCGCCCCTCACGGCCTCTGCCCTCCTCCGCAGAGCGCCAGCCCCAGCATGTCGTACCTAGCCATGTGCTGTGTCTTTGCCTTCATCCTCAGCTTTGGCATTGGCCCAGGTGAGTGGCCCTGCGGCCGCGCTGACCTGCCTGTGACCGAGTGGGTGGGTGGCGGGCTGCACGGGAAGGCGGGGCGGCCGTGTCAAGCCCTTAGCCCAGCCCACCTGGATGGAGGCTACTGGGACAGACCGGGCCACATCCCCACCCCAAAACTGAGGACCAGGGGTGGGAAAAGCCGAGCAGGGAGCCTGCAGGCAGCCTCCGTCCCCACCCCTCCTTCCAGCCGGAGTGACGGGGATCCTGGCCACGGAGCTGTTCGACCAGATGGCCCGGCCTGCGGCCTCCATGATCTCCGGGGCGCTGCTGTGGCTCATGCTCTTCCTGGTGGGGCTGGGCTTTCCCTTCCTCATGGTAGGTTTGCCCTCCCGGCCCTGCCTTCTGGCGTGTCCCAACAGGAGGTCTCTCCTGGGGAGGCAGGTCAGGGTGGTGACAGAGAGGGACAAAGCCTTCAGTTGGCCTTGGCAGGGGCCTGCTGCTTGGGGACTGGGTGGGGCCACACCCAGTCTTGGGGTCTCCTGCCCCCACAGGAAGGCTTGTCCCAGTTCCTCTATGTGCCTTTCATCTGTGTCTGTATCGGTGCCGCCCTCTACACTGGCTTCTTCCTGCCCGAGACCAAAGGCAAAACCTTCCTGGAGATCTCTGAGGACCTGCAGAGGCTGGACTCTGCCAGGCGGCGGGGCCAGGGCCTGCTGGGCAAGGGCCCCGAAATCCTCTCGTCCACGGAGCTCTAGGGCTAACCGTGGCTGCTCTGCTCGTCCCTGCCTGCGACGCTCACGGCCCTTCTCGCCTCCTCTTGCTCCTGGGGACTCATTGAACCAGAACTCATTAGGCACCTGCCAGACGCAGGCTGGATGCCAGGTGCCAATCAGTGGGGTGCCTGAGAGATGAGATCCACAGGGTTTAACCTCTCAAAAACGGAGCTCCAGGGGCCAGGGAGAGAGTTCACAAGGCGGAGCACACCGGACAAGGAGGAGACCCCAACTTTGATTCCCGGCACCGCAAGGCCTCCCCCATGTCACTGGAACGGTCCTGAGCGCCATCGGGCATGTGATCCTGAGCACTGTCAGGCTGGGGACTGCCAGGTGCAGTCCCCTATTAAAAAACAAACACCCAAGAACATCACCACAAACTTGGGGAAATGCAGCAGCTTAAGATATCGAGGGTGTGAAGTATGCGAGTCCTGGGAACTGACGGAGTTTGATGGAGATAGGCGAGTAGGGGCAGCAGACAAGGATTTTCTAAGGAACTGATTTTTTTGAAATCAGCTTTGAGGTTTAATACATGTGTACAGTTTACATACAGTGAGTTACATCAACCTCTCAAGTATACATCTCAAGAGTTTTGACAGCTGCCCATGAAATCACCACAGTCAAGGCTGAACATTCACGTTATCCAGAAGGCTCCCTCAGACCTTTTGCCACCACTAGCCACCCCATCCCAGCACAGCCCCTGGGAGCCCTTTACCTGCTTTCTTTCATACAGTTTAGGTACCTTTAGGTCCTGCTCAAGTGCATGTGTGTCTGATGTTGGTCCAGATCAAGTGTTTGAGAGCTCTACATATTGTTGCCTGGATTTGTATTTCTTTATCTCGCTGCTATATTCCCATTTTATGGAGTCATAGTTTTCTCACCCATTTACCTGTTGGTAGATAATAATCTTAGCTTGGTCGTCCATTTACCTTTGGCTGTTGCTAGTTTGGGGTCACCATGAATAAAATTGCTGCAAACATTCTTGCGTAAGTCAGCATGTGTATTTTCACCTGGGGGAGGTAAATGAATTCCTGGGACTTATGAATGTATATTCAACTATAGAAGAAACTGTTTTCTAAAGAAATTAGACTTTTGGGGGTTGGAGCGATAGCACAGCGGGTAGGGCATTTGCCTTGCATGTGGCCAACGCGGGTTCGATTCCTAGCATCCCATAAGGTCCCCTGAGCACCGCCAGGAGTAATTCCTGAGTGCATGAGCCAAGAGTAACCCCTGTGCATCGCCAGGTGTGACCCAAAAAGAAAAAAAAGAAATTAGACTTTTATAGTCCCACTTGCAATATATGAGACTAAGATGCTCTGAGTCCTCATTAGCTTTAGCATTGTCTTGTTTGGTCATACCTGGCAATGCTCAGGGCTTACTCCTGGCTCTGTGCTCGGGATCAGTACTGGTGGTGCTCAGGGGGCCATATGGGTTTTGTCCACCCCCCATCATCTTTATTGAAAAGGGGCAAGCTGGTCCCACCCTACTTCCCTCCACAGCATGGCCTCAGGCTCAGGCACTGCAGCCGTCTTGCTTGCCAAAACTTTTTTCCTTTTCCTTTTTCTTCTTTCCCCTTTCCCTTTTTAATTATTGCGGTGCTGGGATCACACCCAGGGCACCCACGTGTAAGACCTCCCACTGAGCTCTACCACTGAGCTACATGCCTCACCCAGTTTTCAGAGTATTCTACTGAGCGTATAATAGTGTCTCATGGAGATGTAATCGTGCTGTCGCCCTGACTTACCTTTTCCTGTGATCAAGGCCATTCATGGATCCTTTGTGAAGAATTTGTTGAAATCTTTTGTCAGCCTTTTTACAAAAACATTATCTTTTTATCTTAAAAAGTTGAGGAGACTATATAGGCAGTAGCAATGTTCAGGGGACCATTTGTGCAGTCCAGGGGATTGACTCCTGGTTGGCCATGTGCAAGGTAGGCACCTTAGCTCCTGTATTCTCTCTCCAGCCTCTTAAGCAGTTTTAATTTCACGTGAAGATTGAGAGAAAGGTAAAGAAATTCCCCGGGTGTCCTGCTTGCTCCTTCAATGTACAGCCTTCCCTGATCAACATGATACCCCTTGGTTCAACAGTGGGCTCACTCCTGTTGTATATTCTATGGGTGTGGGCTAATGTAGGAGATGTAGCCATTGTTCTACATCATCAGGGTATTGTTACTGCCCTAAAAATCCTCTCTGGGACCTGGGTTAGAAAACCTGCCTTGTAGGTTTATGGTCACAATTTCAAATCCCTGCTGTTGCCACATCTGCCGAGCACAGTCCTGGCAACTTTGCTGTTGGTGCCTCACAGCTCTTGGTCCTGGCACTGCAAGCGATTTCTGGGCATACCACAGTCAGGCGTGTGTAAGCACCACTACTAAAAAGATGTGCAAGTGCCACAGCCAGAATGAACAAGTCGGGCCGGAGCACAGCAGAGAATAGCGGGTAGAATGCTTGCCTTTCACGCGGCAGACCCCGGTTCAATCCCTGGCATCCCATATGGTCCCCGAGACCCACTGAGAATGATCATTGAGCACAGAGCCATGAATAAGCCCTGAGGCCGAGACACCAAAGGAAAAAAAATAAAATAAGCTTTGGCAAGCATATGGGAAGACACCGTGCCCTAAAGGAGGACAGAGCTCAGTGGGCACTGCCACTGTGTGTGCCACTCCCTGGAACCCCAGAGCAGAAAATGTCAGACATGAGCGCTCTACCGAGTCACAGTGATAGCGATGAAAACAAAGGGAAGGAGAAAGGATAAACTCAGTTAATGCCAGCAGACAAACTCCCAGAAGCAAACTACGTGACCCAGAGATTTGTTCCTTAGTGCCCATCCTAAGGATACAGAAACACCCACCTGAAAGGGAAATGCACCCCTCTATAAGTTCTAGAAACACAAGTGCCCAACCACATTCAAGTGGAAATGAAATGGTCAACTATAAGAAAAAATTGGAGCACCCAGGGACGAGGGTGCTTGCATGCAACTTGGGCTCAACCCCTGGTACCCCATGTGGTCCGTTGAGCCCCACCAGGAGTGATCCCTGGGTACAGAGCCAGGAGTAAGCCCTGAGCACAGCCAGATGTAGCCAGTCCCCAAACAAGCAATAAAGCAACAATTTTTTAAAATTAAACTTTACATTGGGCTACAACTTGGATGGAAATGGGGGTTGTCAGGCTATGCGAAGTGAGTCAGAGGAGGAGGACAGCTGCTGGTGATCTCACTCCTCTGTGGAGTATAAAGAGACAAAGCAAGGGAGCAGACAATGCTCAATGAGAACAAACCCATGGACTTTGCCAACAGAACTGAGATTGCCAAGGCTGGGGCTGGACCAGGGATGGTGGAGCGGCGGGCACAGTGGGCCTAAAACACGGATACTCTTGTAAGACATGATCTCACAGTTCAAAACATAGCAAAATTTAAAAAAATTTAAACCCACTTCATCATCCCTTTCTTTTTCTTCCTAATACTTGGCAACTGCTGCTCTTTTGTCTCCATAATTTTGACTTTACCAAAATGTTCTATATTGGAATCATGTGGTAGGAAGTTATTTCAAATGGGCTTCTTCCACTTAGGTAACGTGCGTTAAAGGTTCCTCCATGTCTTTTTGTGGCTGGCACTCAGCAACATCCCATTGTCTGAAGATGCCACCATTTAATTTTCCAGTCACTCACTAAACGTCAGGCATGCTGGTTGTTCTGAATTTGGGAAATTTTTGAATAAAATTGCTATAAACATCATACGCAGAGTTTTTATAGTTTTAGTTTAGTCTGGGGCCACACTGGTTGTACTTAGTGCTTGCTCCTGGTTCTGTGGTCAGGGATCACTACTGGCAATGCTCAGAGAATCATATTGGAAGCCAGGCATTTAACCTGGGCTGACTACATGCAAGGCAAGGGCCTTAACCACTGTGCTATCTCTCTGGCCCCATTTCTTTGTTTTTATGTATATTATGTATTATTATTTATATATTTATGTAGCACTGTAGCACTGTCCTCCCATTGTTCCCGATTTGCTCGAGCGGGCCCAGTAACGTCTCCATTGTGAGACTTGTTGTTACTGTATTATATAATTATATAATAATAAAATATATTTATATGTATAATTTACTTATGTGTGTATCTATAGTGTGTGTGTGTGTTTTGTGTTTATGAGTGTGATTCTGGGAGTGGAACCCAGAGTCTTGCGCATACAAGGCAAATGCTCGATTACTGAGCTATATTACTGGACATATATTTTTAGCTCCACTTGGAACAAAATCAAGAGCATAATTTCTGGATCATGTGCAGAGACAAGACTTTGTTTTATGACTTTTCTTTCCTGCCAACTTTTCTTCCAAAGTTGCTGTGCCATTTTGCATGGCCCCCTGCAGCGAACGAGTGTTCCCACATCCTCGCCAGCATTCAGCTGGTCACTGTTTTGGATTGGGGTGTATTCTAAAACATGTGTGATGATATCTCACTATATTACTCTGCATTTCCCTGATAACAGATGTTGTGGAGCATCTTCATATATGCTTATTTACCCAGTATACATCTTCTTTAATGAGATATCTCCTAAGGTCTTTTACCCATTCTGAAAATCAAGGGTTCTTGTGTGTGTGTGTGTGTGGGGGCACATCCTGGAATGCTCAGGGGTTACTCCTGGCTCTACACTTAGGAATTACTCCTGACAGGCTCAGGGGACCATATGGGATGCCAGGGATAGAACCTGGGTTGGTCTCATGCAAGGCAAGAACCCCCTACCTGCTGGACTATCACTCCAGCCCCAGACATTTAAATTTTGATAAAGTCCTTTTTTCCCCTTCTATTGGAGGGGCCATCCCCAGTAATACTCTGTCAGATGAGGTGGGGGAGCCTGATGATTTAGTGGGTGCTGAGGGCCACTAGAGCTACACCCAGAGGGATATGATGACCAGGTGGTGGCAAGAATCTAACTCTGGGTTTGTCATAGCCTAACCATGCGCTGTTCCACTTGAGCTGTCCCCTCAGCCCCACAGGCCAGTTTTTCATTCTTTTGTGATTCATGCTTTTTGTTTGACATTTTTGCCAATCTCAGCATTGCAAAGATTTTTTTCCCCAAAATGGTAGTTTGGCTTTTACATTTATGTTGATGATCAATTTTGAGGGTTTTTAAATG